TGTGTCATCTGCAAACATCACGATGTCAACGTCCTTTGACTGCAACTTACATAGATCATTTATATAAGCGAGAAAAAGAGTCGGGCCTAGCGTACTGCCTTGAGGCACACCGAAATGGCAAACAGCGCTGTTGCTTAAATGTTCCTTGATCCTGACTATCTGTGTCCTGTTACTTAAGTAGGATCTGAACCATTGCAGTGGCACACCTCTAATACCCTGGTTTTCTAGCCTTGTCAATAGTATAGGAATCGACACCGTATCGAATGCCTTTTGAAGATCTAAAAAGACACCGAGATACCTTTCATTTTTGTTTAAGTAAGAATTCGCTAAAGACGTGAAATGGAGGACAGCATCCTCAGTAGATTTGTGCTTTCTGAATCCATATTGGTTAGGGCTTAACAGGTGAAATCTTTCGAGGTAGCTAATCAATCTACTGTTTACAATTTTTTCTAGGACTTTAGAGAGAGTTGGCAACAATGAAATTGGTCTGTAATTCGACGGTAGATTTTTTGACCATCTTTATAGATAGGTGTAACTAAGGCCTTTTTGAAGATATCTGGGAGGATACCGGTCTTTAAGCTAAGGTTTATTAGGTAAGTTACTGATTCAACGATATAAGGACATGCATATTTTATGATGTGTGATGTTATGTTATCCCAACCAGAGGCATTACTTGATTTTAGGCTTGAAATAAATGTATGAACTTCGGCGCAGTCAGTCAAAAACAAGGAAAAAGAATTTGGTAACATGTTCGACCTGGCTGCATTGATAGACAATTGGTCTTGTGTAAGTCCTAAATTGTTAATAGTTTTAGTCGCCAACTCCAGACTAATATTAGTAAAGTACCCGTTCACCTCATCAAGAGACTCTGTCGTTGTTGTTTTAGTGTTGAGAAGCTCATCAGATGTATTTTCAGTTTTTTTAGTCAAGTTACAAATATCTTTAATTAAATCCCAAGTCCTTTAAAGGCATCCTGTATTTTGATTGAATTTAGAGCGGTAGTAATTTGTTTTACTTAATTTAACAAGCTTATTACATATGTTTCGGTAGCTACAGTATATGGTTTTTAGATTTTTATCATTTGGTGTATTTTTATGTTGTTTCTGAAGCTTATTCCTTTTTCGGATTGAGATAAGGATACCCGGCGTAATCCACGGTTTTAGTCATTGTTTTCTATGAGGTATGGAAACTTCCTTGGTATTAATGCTAATAACAGAGTGTAATGTAGAGATTAAATATTCGGCAGTTTTATTAACTGAGGTAAGTTTGTAGTATTCATTCCAGTTTTCATTAGCCAATTGAATTTTTATAGCATCAAAGTCAATTTTGAGCCGCTTAATATTAGGTACAGACTATTTAAAATTAATAATATGGGTGAATGGTCAGTTAATGAATCGAATACAAAGGTTTGCCAATTACTTTTCGTTTTAACCATAAAGTGGTCAATACATGATTCTAAGCGTGTGGGTTTGTCAACACCCTGAAGTAAGCCATAGTATGCCAAGAGACTAATGTAGCTTGCACCACTCATAGATACGTTCCCCGGCAATATATTTATATTTATATCACCGGTAAGTATTACAGTATTTTGAGGTGTGTCTTTCAAAATCCGCTCTAGAGAATTTAGATAATTCGCAGGATTCGGAAAACCTGCTGGTCTATACGAATAAATAACCGCACAGCTTTCTTCAATATTCAGAACCAAACAGTTACCTTCTGTACAGTCCGGTTCTTTAGCAGAGGCCACAATATCACTGCGCACATACGCTACTACACCATCATTTTGGTTCAGTTTGTTTTTTGTGTAGAACATTTGATAGTTATCTAAAGGCGGCGGTGGCTTAACCTCTTTTGTCCAACATTCGGTTAGAACAAGAATGTCTATAGGTATACTAAGCGACTCAACAAACACTAGAAAACGATCTAAGTTACAGTGAATGCTCCTTATATTAACTGTCAGAATAGACAGTGAGTTTGGAGTTACCTGGACAAGTCGCCTGCATAATGCAGGGTCCGCCACCTCAGTACAAGTAGGGTTACAAACGACATTTAATTCATTTTGAACAACACAAATATTTTGATTATTCAATTTTAAAATTGTGCAGCAAACTATTGTTACATGGATAACGACGCATTGATTTTTTAAATGTTATAATGTATATATGTAATTAGTGTAGTAGAAGTTTGAGCTTGCATGTGATACGATCTAAACTCTAAAAGTCTTATAGCCATGTAGTTCGAATGAGTAGAGTTATGTAATATGTAATGTGGATATGTTATGTTGCATGTGCATGGTATATATAATATGTATGTATTATCACTGACATCTGATGGGTAACGCGAAACGGTAGCTATAATATATAGTAACTGTGTATATGTTGTATTGTGTATACGATTATAGTTGTTGATAAATGCAATGAATGTATTGGTATGTGAGTTTGAGTAAAGGGCCTTACTATTACAGAAAATAAAATTAAAATAAAGAAATGAATGGATTAACAATAGGAACTGTGTAAAAGTTTTGTAAAAATACTCTTCATACAAATAGCTAAAATCTAGTCATTCGGTAGACATCCTATTAAGGTCTTCGTGACACTTGATCAGGATAGGCTTGGATTGCTCAGATTTCTTTAAGTATACTCTTCCAACTGAGGTCCAACAGAAGACGTAATTATTTTTCTTCGCAAAATCTCTCCCAGCTGCAAACATCTGCCTCGTTTTTTGTGGTAAGTTGTAATATATTTTAAAAACCCTCGAGATAAAACTCAAATAAGATATTTAGCGTGACAAGTGTCACCAGATAACCCAAAATTCTTTGAAGACGTCTACAGGGATGCAACTCTAGAGGCGCATGGATATTTAATGGTAGATTTAAAACAGAAACTTCACAAAAAATTGTACATACACACACACACACACACACACACACACGACACGCACACACGCACACGCACACGCACACACACACACACACACACACACACACACATACACACATACACACATACACACAATACACACATACACACATACACGACACGTACACACGTACACACGTACACACGTACACACATACACACATACACACATACACACATACACACATACACACATACACACATACACACATACACACACACAAACACACACACATACACACACACACACACACACACACACACACACACACACATATATATATATATTGGCAATCGCATGTGCAACTGTTTCTGAACTAGCTTTGGCACTAAGTTTTGATAGTAAAGATCTTTGTGGTTTTTCTGTACACCGATTTTGACTAGCAGACTTGTGAGGCAAAACATCTTTTTTAAGTTTGAGGGGACCACCAACTAGTTTGCTTCACGTAGTTTTCCATATCGTTTTCGACCTAGAACAAAACACAAACTTATTTAAAGTCTATAAAAAAATAAGGAACCTCGTAATTTGTATTCCATCAATATTTAAAATATGTACCAACTATGTAATATATAGAAATAGGACAACACGAAAAAAAATTTAAGTGCTCCACTTCATAATCAAACTTCTTCCATTATTTGCGGCCAAGGGTTAAAAAACCCGGGTTTTTTTTTTTTTTCCAAACGTTTTTTATATGCATTATAAACATTTTAAAATTTTCTGCAAACATAGGTAGGTATCTAAACTTACGAACTCACGACAGGTCATTGACTTATCTACATTACATAGGTACTTTACCCAAGTTTGGATGTTTATTTACACTGAAGTAGTTTTAGTTAAATATGTAGGTATTAGGTATTGTTTCTTCTTGAAATTATAATGATCATTAAGCGTGGAAAGGTTCAATGAATCGTTAGTTACTTAAACACTGCGACTAGAGTAGGTACCTACATGCCTAATAGAAAGCATATACTAGCAATAACCAAGAGCTATCATGTGAAGGTTACTATTATTTGAATACTTACATCAAAATGATCCTCACAAAAGACGCTACCGTTTTTGGTCCTAAAGGATGTGCTCTTCTCATAGCATTTGTTCATTTTTTTTCTGATGGTAGGGTTTCTAGGCACATTAAAAAACAACTTTTCAGGTGTTTTTGTGGCCGTATTTTTACATTGAGGCACAGCACAATATTTAATTATTGGTGTCGTGTTCTACTTTAATGTTTCTTGTTAAAATAGATAGATAGATCCGCGCGCGACGGGCACATTCGAGTAAATGTTTTGATTTTCTAAGTGCGCGTCGGGTCGCTCGCACGAAGATGGAAATCGTGACGTCATCAACGATGTCGCGCTCGGCCCGCGGCTTAGACCGAACATGTTAACTTTGCGCCTTTATATCTCGGTCAGTTTTGAAGATAGAAAAAAATTAAAAACACAGTTATTCTCGTAATTTTTATATAAATGTAAGTTTAATTTTACTTTTAGTTTATTTATTTTTGTTTCATTCACTATCATTATTTTCTTCACCATTGATCGGAACCCCTTCTCGGGTATAGGCCTCCTCCAGTATTTCCAGACCTTTTTATCCTTAGCTTTCTTTCGCCATTCGTTTCTTGCTGTCGCTTCTATATCGTCTATCCACCTTGCTCTGGGGCGCCCTCTTTTTCTTCTTCCCTCTGGACCTTTCCATATGATTGTCTTTAGTGTCCATCTTTTGTCTGTGTACCTTGCGATATGTTCTGCCCACTGCCATTTCTGCTTTAGTGCGTGATGTAAGGCGTCTATACCTTTAGTTCTCCGTCTTATTTTTACGCTTTTTATTTTTTGTATTCTTTTTATTTTTAGTACGCTTCTTTCCATTGCTTTTTGACATGCTACTAGTTTGTTTTTTATTTTTGTGTTGTAAGTCCACGTTTGGCATCCGTATGTAAGAGTAGGTAAGACGCAGGTATCCAAGACGATTTTCTTAAGGTGGAGGGGTAACTCACCTTTTAATATTTCCGTCAGGGTCCAAAACTTTTTCCAACTCAGCGCCGTCATTCCAGTTCCTATTCGAGTGTGTTTTCCAGGTAATTTCCGTATTCAAGGCTTGCCGTTTGTAATAGGTTTTGTTAGACTGTTTGTTAATATTTTAGTTTTGTTCTCATTCATTTTGAAGCCTACTTTTTCGCTTTCATCGCTTAGAATACTTATCATTTTTTCTAATCTCTTACTTGTTTCAGCGAATAAGACAATATCGTCCGCAAATCTGAGATGTGTAAGTTGATCTTGGTTAACTCTGATCCCTTCCGACTGCCAGTTGAGATTGTCAAAAATGTATTGTAGAACCATTATGAACAGTTTGGGTGAGAGAGGGTCCCCTTGTCTCACTCCTCGACAGATCGGTATGTCGAGACCTCGTGTTTCCAGTTTGACTTGGCTTACGCTGCCCTCATAGATGTTCTTTAGTACTCTTACATAGTTTTGATTTATGTGGTATTTTTTCATTGCTTCCCAGATAGCGTTTTGAGAAATCTTGTCGAACGCTTTAGCATAATCAATAAAAGCAATGTACAGAGGTCTGTTGAACTCTTTGTATTTCTCCATTACTTGTTGCAGAACTTGTATATGGTCCGTGGTGGAGAACCCAGAACGAAACCCTGCTTGTTCTATTGGTTGATATTTATCGATCTCGGGGCTCAAGCGGCTTTGTAGGATTGTCATGAACAGTTTATACACACTTGAGAGAAGACTAATCGGTCGGTAATTAGAGATGTCCTGGGGGTCTCCTTTCCTAGTATTTTTATTTATTATATAGAAGTATTATATCCGATCTTTTCCATTGAATCGGTACCTGGCTTGTGTGCAGAACTTTGTTGAACAGGTGCGTGAGTGGGCTTGTAAGTAGGATACTGCCAGCCTTGATTGCCTCATTTTGTATGCCGTCAGGACCAGGACTTTTGTCTGCTCTGAGTTTTCTGATGTGCTTGGTGACTTCTTGCTCGTCTACTGGTGACAAATCGTTTACGCATTGAAAGTCAGTTTTGTCAGAATTTTTTGGCATATAAAACAAAAAATGGTTATCTTCTCCATTGTGAGGTCTAAAATGTCTCAAAATATTGTTAAGAATAGTAAAATAATTTGGGGTAATAGAAAACCACATCAAATACTCAAATATAAAGAATATTGTAATTCGAAATTTAGAGATATGCATTTACCGGTAGAGTTTTGCCATTGTTGTGATCGTATGTGTACGTGTACAGATCACAAAGAGAGTTTAGATAGGATGTTTGAGGCTATAGTAAATACCTTAAGCGAGGCCGCAATTATGACATATGAAGGTAGTGCCATTACTGGCAAAAAGGAAACCGTAGTCGGATGGAATAAATATGTAAAAGATGCTCATAGGGAGTCCATGACACAATTTGATAATCGGTTACAATGTGGCAAACCTAAAGGGGGCATTGTGTATGATCGAATGTGTGAGAGCAGACGTCGATTTAAATGTAAGTTAAAATGGTGCCAGAATCGGGAAGAACAAATTAAAAATGACATAAAAACTACTCAGCATTGTAATAAGGACTTCAAAAATTTTTGGAAATCCACAAATAAATTAAATCTGCGGCCTGGTCTTCCTGTGAGCATTGGGAACACTAAGGATAAAAAAGAGAAGGGTGACAACCCACATCTCGTTATTATTGATGATCTAATGAGAGAGTCCGTTGGAAGAACTGTGGATATATTTACAAAAGGTAGTCATCACAGGAATCTCAGTGTATTTTATTTAACACAAAATTTATTTCATCAGGGTAAAGGGCAAAGAGACATATCTTTAAACTCAAGTTATATAATATATTTTAAAAATCCTCGAGATAAAACTCAAAGAAGATATTTAGCACGACAAGTGTCACCAGATAACCCAAAATTCATTGAAGATGCCTACAGGGATGCAACTCTAGAGGCACATGGATATTTAATGGTAGATTTAAAACAGAATACCAATGATTTTTGTCGTATCAAGACAAATGCTTCCCATTTAAGGTGGATGCTTCGACCGTCCGTCCATACATTTTTAAACCAAAATCTTCACTAAACACAGACACTCTTTCTTTAAAACTAATCATTTTATCACTTCTCTACAATGAAATGTGTACGTGTCTGACCTTTATAGGCAATAACTTACATTATATACTGAGAAAAACAATAGTGAAATCCCGGAAAAATTTGACACTTCTTTAGTAGTATACGTGACTTTTGACAAGCAAACGAAAGGCGACGCTTAAACATTGGCACGCTAGATGGCATCCAAGTGATCTTAAATAATTCTGATAAATCAATATCTTAAGTTCAATAATTGGTTAATTTCCTTTCCAACCGTTAATAAACCGTATAAAATAACATAAAACTAATGACCTTAGACACCTATGTTTTTTTGTAAACAATTTTATTACGAGTACTTATTATCGTTGTATGGCATACCAAAAGTCGTAGGTAAAGCGACGTTGCCGTCCTTTCTGACAACAAACTGCCGTAGACAGAGAAGTCTACGGTACTAACGTATTCCTGACCTTGAATTGACGAAAAAGCGTTGCCCTTACGTACGTTCACTTGTTCGACTTGTTTAAAATATAATATTCTGATTTCGGTTGTCACGCGCTATGATTTGCGCGCGGAATTTCTTGTGTATTATACATATTTTGTATGTATGTTTTCATTGATTCGAATTGCAATATTTCTCTAGTATATATTTGAGACTATATTGTAATTTATCGTAGGTATAGTAATTAATTATTTTAAAAACGCAAATATGTTTTCGATAGTATTATTAACAGCAGGCTGGCCCGTGATTTTTCTGAAATATCGTCACAATACTGATTACCTACGTCATACGTGTCAGTGTTTCATATATGAATGTGTTTGAATATGTTTTTGGTCAACAATAAATACAATTATTATAAATCGGTAAACTACCAAAGTAGTCACAAAATTAAACTTGCAAACATTTGCTAAATATGGTTTTGCCGGGTTACATTAAACACACTTAACGCATTTTGCAAACAGTTTCAGACAGACACACATTATTAGTTTGTTATATTTTGTAGAGCTCAAGTTCACTCGTCACTACGTCACACCTTATGATGCGTTCAGAAACAAATACAATTCAGTTACATAAAATCCTTTTTTCTGTTCTGTGCTTTGTTTATAAATAAATAGCTTATTCTAATCTGAGTTATGTTTTTCTTATTCGTCGGCCAATTCTACCAGGAATATAAAGATAACATTGAAATAAAAAGATAAGTAAATTTTTGTACATTTTAGTGTTCTAGATCTTGTGTTCCGAACGCAACCCTATTCATATAGAATTGAAGGAAGATTTGTAGGTATAATATATTATATTGTATTTCAGAGAGCATTTCTCGGTATTTTTTTTTGGAAATCGTGTGTTTTGGAAGTTATATTTAGATTAAAAATACATACTGATAAAATATGAGGAATATTTTTTGATCTTACTGACATAATAGAAAAAAACTGAACTGGTTATTAAAATGAAAAATCATAAGTGCAATAAAAGTTTCGTATTTTAAAAAAAAATACTACAAAAAGAGCTCGAAATAATAGATTTTCTCACAAAAGAAGGGAACTTGAAAAAAAAGGGAAAAAAGTCAATCCTAAGACAAGACGCGAACCATGGAACTACGATTTCGCGACAGTGCGTTGTCCACTTGAGCTATTACAACCGTTAATATAGTGTTAAAATTTACCTTCTTATATTGTAGCAGTTTTTCATTGCCTGAAAACGGGAATAAAACGACATTTTATGAAAATCGTTGGAGCCGTTTCCGCTATTCCGATTATATATATATATATATATACAAGAATTGCTCGTAGGTATAGGATTTATATTTTTGTTTTACTAAAAGCTTTTGTTGAGTGCTTCGAAATTAGGAAATATTATTTTCAAACTTCCTGGTTATTATCACAAAATAAATCGTGTTATAGATTTGTTGTTATCTCTTGTTTGTGAATTATAGTTTCTTACGTGTTGGTTATGAAATGTCTAATTATTGTAATAATTTGTACTGTTACAAATCATCAGTGTCATTAGTTTTGAGTGAATAGGCATTTATCAGTATAATTATGTTGCTTCAAATAGGTACTTCTGTTTTGATAAAAAATTCAATAGTGTAATGTAATAAAATAAAGCTGCGTTATATTGTAATCAATGTTGACATAATTTATTTCCCAAAGTTATAAATCAATTAAATAGTTTACGCCAACAAATATAAATTTTATTTTTATAACAATCGTACATAGCGTTTTGTAGTTCTGCCTACCCAATCTACACATACAGAAAAATTAAAACTTGTTTTTTTACATACACGCCATCTAGTGTTCTAGCTTCGTAAACGTAGGGATACGTCTATGTGTGTGTAAACGAACCTATATTCAATGACAGATGTTATAATCAAAATTAATGTCGAATTGGGTTGATTTTGAGGCAATGATATGACCCATTCCAATAAAATGTAATATCCGATAACCGCTAAGTCTACTCCTACGACTTAATAATTTTCCAATTACAGAAATATCCAAATAAACTTAAAATGTTGCATTCAGCGCCATCTTGCGGGAGAATGGCTAGGAAGTGTCCGAAGGTTCCACCTTAATGGTTTCTGTTCAGTCCACGTCCCCACAAAAGAGTTTAAATACACCAAGAATCAAACAATTCAAATCATTGCTAAATGATGCATCGTCGACTCACAATGCATAAACATTTGCTAAACGCTTTGCATACGCTTAAACCAAAATATCAAAGAGCATTACTTAAAACGTGTGATGAAGAAGAAATTAACTGTATTTGTGAGTGTATTCATAACGTATTACAAGGAAAAGTACCTCTTAAAGATCAAGATAAACAAAAATTGAATAAACACAAAAATATACTCCGTAAACTAGTGCGTAAGTGTAAACATAAACTAAGAAAAAATATAATTATACAAAAAGGAGGGGCTTTCTTACCAATAATATTAGGTGCAATATTGAGTGGATTAGTGAGTGGACTAGCCAGTTAACATGGAAAATGCAAAGAAAATGATACTTATCGAACCTGGATTGATTGAAAAATTAAAACAAGAAAATAAGGTTAATAGTAATTTATCTCGATTAGATATTGAAATACAAAATATTATGAATAGTAAGACGGAAGACCGAAAGAAATGGATGTTATATTTACAAACACTGCAAAGATACCTTCATTTTATCGAAGAGGATCGTCAACCACTCAGATTACCAATTTATTCTGATACATCTAATGAAGATTCAAATAAGTCTAAAATTGGTTTTAAAAATAAAGATAGAGATCTAAAAACTTCAGTTGATGCTGAATCTTTGTTGGAGGAGAATCGATCCATTAAAAGTAAAGAAAATGATGAAAATCCACTTTACACACCAGCTGAAATACTCAGTTTAATACCATAAACTTATAATAAAAAGGGACAGTTATTATTAAACTTAGTTGAAACAATCATCATCATCATCATCATCACCAGCCCTTCACAAGTCCACTGCTGAACATAGGCCTCCCCCAAGTAATGCCACAAAGTACGGTCCTGAGCCACCTGCATCCATCGACTTCCTGCATATCTTACCAGGTCGTCACTCCATCTAGTGGGGGGTCGCCCTACACTACGCCTACCGGTACGAGGCTGCCACTCGAGAACCTT